TTTTCAGATTTCTATAAGTTGATCTTTGCCCCTCTTGTTTATATTGATTACAAAATAACCAAAAATTTTCATCATAGCCAAAGGTTTCATCATTTGTATATTAACGAACATGTGTTGTCTCGTCCATGTCTTCAGATGAATTGAGAAGCAACGTTAAATAAGGTATTTACTTAAGATTGGAAAGTAGGTCAAGTTGGATTACCTAGGTGTAACGAGGCCGAATGTTAATGTGATTAAGATAACATTTGGTACTTGTTTTCAGACGAGATTAGAAATAAAGCCCTCAGTCTATAAGTTTAGGGCTTTTTTTGTCGTACTTAATTAGAAATTCATTCTGATTTTAGAGTAAATTCTATTCTATTGATATGAACGTTTTCATATGCCGAGTCATGAGATTCATAAAATAGAAATGATAAATTACATAGGACTTTTAAGATTTAGAGCTAATGCTAACTTTGACATAATCTTTTGGTATCAATTACAGAAAATTGAAAGAAAAAATTCTATTTTAGTACATAAAAATATATATTTTTATCTTTTAACTTATTGTGTTTATGTATATTTTTATCCATAAAAATATCTAAAAGTTGTATATTTGTAAAGTAATTAAGACAGAAGCAATTTTCTTTTCTATAAGACATCAAAACAACTTTTAAATTTTTATATTTATTTAATTATTTTTACTATTGTTTTCTTTATTTTTAACTTCTATAGATTTAAAATTAAAACATAAATTTAAAAACAAAAACTAAAAATATTTTTATGTACTAATGGAGCAAAAACCCCCTATTTAACGTCTAAAAATATTTTTTAATTTTCGTCTTTTAAATTTATATTAATTTTATTCACCAAAAAGAAAAATTGTTTATATTTTAATAATTTAATAAATATACAATTGTTTCTTATTTTCATGAATAAACATATTTTCAAGTACATATAAATTTTGAAAAATATTTTATTAGAAGAATTGTGTAAATAAAGTATAGTTTATTATGCCTAAATAGAGCAAAATATTTGTTATTCATATTTTAAACCATCTCATATCTTTTTCCGCTATCTTCGTCTTTGAATTGTCAGAAATACCAATTTTAAATAGAAGTCTCATTTTTTCTTCGTCTGCTCTATCTATAAGTAACCTATTAAAACATAGCAGAAGTAACACCTTATTTCCTCGTTACCAGCAATCACTCATATTTTAATAATTTAATAAATATACAATTGTTTCTTATTTTCATGAATAAACATATTTTCAAGTACATATAAATTTTGAAAAATATTTTATTAGAAGAATTGTGTAAATAAAGTATAGTTTATTATGCCTAAATAGAGCAAAATATTTGTTATTCATATTTTAAACCATCTCATATCTTTTTCCGCTATCTTCGTCTTTGAATTGTCAGAAATATCAATTTTAAATAGAAGTCTCATTTTTTCTTCGTCTGCTCTATCTATAAGTAACCTATTAAAACATAGCAGAAGTAACACCTTATTTCCTCGTTACCAGCAATCACTCATTCCGTTACAAGTGAAGAAGCTTTCATATTTGAATCACGCTATATTTCTGTTGGTATTTTGTTTCTTTTTAGCTTTAGCCTATCTCCCTGTTGAATTTTCCTTTAAAAAGAGTCAGGAGTTAATTGCAAGATCATCTATTCATTTCTGCCACGCCAAATCACTAATAAAAAAGGGAAGTCGCCAACATAATAGAATAGTTAACAGGAAATATATACAACAAATTGACATTTTAATTAATTCGTATCACAATGATTTGTACTGCTCGATCAAATGAGAGGCATGGAGTCGTGAAGTTGGGGCAACTGTACATCCCAAACTCTGGAGATATGCTATCTGCCATTCAAGAGAAACAGCCATATAGCTACAATTAATAGGAGGGGGGATAAGATTTCTACCACTTTCATTCACAAGTTCCACTTCTGATATTATATGAATTACTTAAATCAGTAACCATTTATCTTTAACAGTTAACAAATAGATATCTTTTTCTTTATTATATTTACTTAAATAAATCAAAGTTTAGATAATGTTCATTTAGTGTTTTATGCCGGCAGAAAATGTCAAATGCTATGTTCGGAAGTTTGAAACCATGACACTGAACGGAAATGTGTTCTAACCAGCAAAAAGATTTGTAATTATCAACATTCGGAACTAAATCTCATATTGACATTATTAGAACGTACTCTGTTCACCAAACAAAGTACAATATACTTGTCAAACCAGAGTTCATGTTGTACTCTACATTTGTAGTCTACTCTACATTTGTCATGTTGTATACTGTATAACATAGCAATGAAAAGTTGGTTGCAAGTGGGTGGCAATTGATAATAGATGAGCAAGAACAAAAAGAGTAACAGAAGAGGCTTTAATTGGGGAGTGCAGGTAAACGGGATATGCACATGAATCTTCAATTATCCCTCTGTATTCTTTTTTCTCAACCTCCATAAACCCAAATTGCAGAACAGTACATTAATATCTGTGCGTTTGTGTGTGTTAGTATTTATGCAGGTTTAGATTTACTTCATCCAGCAAAATATGCATCTCAGAAGGGGAGCTAGGTTACTTCACAAAGATCCTTCTAGGTTTCTACTTAAGAAGAAATATCAATGATCAACCCTTTAGAAGAATCTTAGTACCTGTTTAGCTGTTGGTGCCGATGAACTCATTGAATTCTCGATTCTTAGTTTCTGGAAATGCTCCTGGAAGAGAAAAACACAATCCCATGGTTACCAACAATTACAAGAATAATAAGTTTTCACATGCATCCATTTTTTACAAAGTTGAGGGTTATTAGTGTAATATTTATGCAATTTTCATGTAAACGAAATTAATTCTACAGGTGAAATTTAACATGAATTTTGTGTTAATGTAAAAAATTATATGGATAGCAAGCTTATGGGGAAGAAGTTGCCAGCATTATATGAAGACTTCGAATGTTATCATGAATACCCTCCAATTTTTTATTCCTCACCTAGAATGTTATAATATCTTTGTTGTCCTTTTTGTTTTAGCTTGACCAAGTCTTAATTTTGGATTTAGCTGAGCTTCGAATGCATACTGGTTACTATTAGTTCAAACAGCCTTCTAAGAAAGAAATAGTTCCTCTAGTGAATTTTATTGTTTATGTTCAAAAGGCTGGAAAAGTACAAAAGAGAAATCGCTAGAGAAACAGACCTGTTTCTCCCTCATTAAATGAGCACGTGTATCTGCAGGAATTTGCTCCCAAGACAAAACCTATATAAAGAAATAGCATATTAAAAAGAAGTTAGCTTGTAGCTGTGCCTGAAGGCATATCAACAAGAATTATTCTGAATATTAGAAATAGAAAAGGTTTTCTCAAAATGTCAGCCACTAGCTGTGCCTTCCATCTGTTACATGTTGATAAAATTTTCAAGTGCTTACGTATTCTGCATACTGAAATGCCTCCTCAGAGCTCAAACAAGTCTTCAAAGCAAGCAAAACATCCTGAAATCATGTAGAAGTCATATAACAATTGCAGTGCTTGATGCATGAGAACGGCTTGCACAGATAAATGCAGCATGGTAGGATTTTTAGCCTTATGACTGGTAGTATCTAGTAATTATTGAAGTGATTGCAATCTTGTGTTGTTCTCCATAACTAAGTGAGATATGCATACTGCCACAGATTTGGTGCATCGGCAGCATTGCCTTTATGCAGCTTATACTGCTGGAGTTTAACTCTAAAATTAAGATGTGCCAATGCCCATTTTGGTCCAATGAAAGAACGATAAAAACGAGATATACAGTTAAAGTTCATCAACACCTCCATGAAATATTGAAGTGTAGAATCAAAGCGAAAAGTGACATGATAACTTATTTTGGGATGCATAAATCAGCACATTGTACTACCTTATGTTTGGTTTTCTTGACTGTCAGGCGTTCATTGATTACAAAACGGACCTGCAGATGTTGAGCATTAACAGAACATACTGATTAAAACAAGGCATCAAAATTTAAATGGGGGGGGGGGTGAAAAGCAAAATAAAAATGTTAAACACACAATCATATTTCTCAATATCTTCTTCCCACATGCAACACAAAACTATCACTGAACAAGAAAAGGATGACAAATGCATTACCGACATATAATAATACATGAAAATAACTTAAATGTAAAGAGAAGCATGCTTTATAAAAGAATATCTATGCACTATAACGTAAAGCTATTTAGCAATTGAAATCTAAACAGAGGGAAACAGTGATTGTCAGAAACATTTTAATACATTCAACAGGAAACTATCATTGGACAAGAAAAGCTTACAGAGATGACAGTGAATTAGCGACATTTAATAGTACTTGAAAATAACTTGCTAATACAAAGAGAAGCATGCTTCATCCTGACACAGTAAGTTTCTGTAATTTCAAAATATAAAAGCTGATATCGCACATGCAATAAATGGTATTGGTTGAAGTCTATTCAACAGAGACAGGAATTTTGTTGAAAAAATGCACTACTGTTCTTTCCTGCAGTAAAACATTTCCATCACTGAGAGTGCAGGGCACAGAAAAGAATAAAAAGCACTCACAGTTTCCCTTATCTCTTATTTCTATCGTTTCTATCTAGTTCTAATGCTCTAAGCAAGCAATTAGCGTATTTATCATTGAAATTTAATAACACTTTCTCTTGGATCTACTGATGGAATGCAGAAAGATGCACAAAAATGCATGAATAGTGTGCAGTTCTATAAGAGGCAGTGTGAATTGTAGAGTGATCCGTTCTCTCTCAAATAACATTTGTCCATTTTTACATAAATCAGAGATAGACAAAAACAGAACGAAGAACATAACAAAAATATAGGGTTTATTTGGTTTAGCTTGCCCCTCTCTACAAACATCTAAACAACAAACTGCATATGAAGCAACAACTAAGTTAACAAGCCAGACTAACCTTGTCAAGCAACCTTCTTGGGTCTTGAAAGGCTTGCTTCTTAGCCCATTGATGAAACAAGTGGGAGACAACAGATCTGTTCTCCACAGTAAATCTGCAAAACAGTGAAAAAAAAAGAATGAAGTGAAAGCTCCATCGTGCCATAGTTTTCTTAGATCATTTGAAGTAAGACCTTCTCAGGAAACCATTCCCGAAACATGCCTCCTCTGCTTCTATTGATTCTTTTGTGGCATCACCAGCTTGACACATCTCAGAGGGTTGTTTTTCATCTAGTAGGTAAGAGTTATGATGTTTATCTTCTCTCGGAATGTGTCGATACTTAATACTTAAATCACCCTACATGAGAATCGAACAAGCGAATGTCAAATGAAATCAAATCCAAATTTCTCAAGTGTTAAGTCATAAGCATGCAGAATATAGAAGATGAATGATAAATTTAATGTTTCACTGTTCAGTTATGTTTTTGTGGGAATGATATCTGATTAACAATTGAAGGTCCTCTTTTATCAATAGTAACCCAACTCAGGTTTTCTTTTCATCCTCCAAAAAACACAGCCCATTACTAACTACAACTACTGCGATAAATCCTATGGATATGAGTTTCTTTTTTTAAAAAATAAGATATGGATATGAATTTCTTCACGCTGATGATGCATAATAGATTTGAAATTTTTTTTGAGATAAAAAGTGTAAGATATATATTATCAAAGTACTAAAAACAAGAGTACCGTCCATATACAAAAAATTTACAATAATATTAGAGTATTTATGACGTTCTTAAAATGCACATCACTAATTATGTCATAACCTAACAAAATAAATTCAAAATAATGAATTCATCTATCTTTTAATCTATTAATACTACTTTCAATACCATCAAAAGCTCTACCATGTCTCTTTTTCCAAATAACCCAAAAAATAATCAAAGGAATAAAATTTGCTATCTTTTCTTTTACACATAAGTTGGCCCAAGCCCAAATCTCCCCCCCAACTGACCAAAGGAATAACCCAATCAACCCCCAAAAGACCATAAATCATACACTACAAACTATAAGCAGTAGACACTAGAGTAAAAGATGGTTGTACGTTTCCTCCGTTTTCAGACAACAGTAGTAGCCGTTCACCAAAATTTGAGCTCTAATTCTCAACTTGTCAATGGTTAAGGTTCTCTCCCAACAAGCCTCTCAAACAAAAAAAGTATTAATTTTTGAAGAAAAAATAATAATTTTATTTCTCACCTTTTAAATTGTTACATTTAGATATTTATAGAACTCATATCATACTGATAGAAAAATTCTTATTCTACTAAATTTTTAATTATATAAGATTATTATTCTCATAAAATCTTAATTATCTAATAGCAAATAATTAAATAATAAACTAAAATAATTTGATAATAAAATATGATACTCAACACCTCCTCCTAAGTTGGTACAATGATATCGCATATGTCCAACTTGTAAATCAAGTTCTGAAGAATTATCTTGCAGTTTACCAATGCCAAATGATGCCCAAAAAGTGCTATAAATTGGAATCATATCTGTCAGATAGCAGATCGACTCGACTCAAAAAGAGCTCAGTCTGCCTCAAAACGGCTCGGTCCAGCTCTAGAACGGCTCGGGCTCGGGCTCAACTCAAAATAACTCAACCTCCACCGGAGTACCACACAAGTTCTCACGCGCCGCCACGTGCCACTGTCAGCACTACCACACGTTGCCGCGATTTCACTAGCAATCACCACAAAAAATGCTGGCAGTTTCAGATCCGGCACGAATATGGTGAGACCACGTAGAGGGACAACAGAAAATGTCTTCGCGCAAAATGGGCTCCCGCGTGTCTTCTTCTCTCTGACAAGCTCCGCTGTGCATTCTCTCTCCAGCTTTCTGGTTTCGGGTGCAGACAAGGACAAACTTTCAAATCCGTCTCTGATTTCTCTTTTTTGGTCCTCCCTTTGCGCAGATCGAGAACAATTGAGACGTGTTCTTCAAATCACTGTTGCCAATTGACATGCACGGGCCATTCACCGATCAAGATCTGCTCGGATAGGCCGTTCACGTGCTCTGCCTCGCCGGCTGGTCACCACTTGCGCTCCAACCTTCTGCGTTACACAAATTTGCGTCAGTCTTCTCTGGATTGCACCAAGCTGCGCACGGTTTCAGATCTGATCGGTTCTGTGCCTTCTTCCATACGCAGCGACGGGTCGGGTTGAGAGTAGATCTAGATATGTGGATGCCAACCTATCCTATTGTGTTATTTAAGAGTTTGATGGAAATCCTGAAATTAAAACTCTAAAATAGTTTTATTTGACTCTGATACCAAGTTGATTTTGAAGAAAAAATAATAATTTTATTTTTCATCATTTAGATTGTTACACTTAAGGTATATATAAAATTTCTATCATATTGATAAAAATTTTATTTTACTAAATTTCTAATTATATGAGATTATTATTCTCATAAAATCTTAATTACATAATACCAAATAATTAAATAATATCATCAAAAAGCAATACGTGGAGAAACCTTAGTTTTCCAAATTTGCTTAATCGGAAAAACTCTCCCAACAGTAGCACTCTTATTACTCAGGTGGTTGTAATATGAAGTGACAAAAAATTTGTCTTTCTTTTTCAGTTTCCACAAAATCTGATCATCAATAGTCGAAACTTGTTGTGTTGCAAGTAACTGTATCGGTTCTTCGAACTCACCAATCTCCCAATCATTTAAATTTCGGTTAACATTAATCGACCAAACAACATTCTCATTTGATACCCAGTAAGCTTCCTCTACTACCATGTTCTTGTATCAGGCAATACCAAAAATTATGGGAAGCCTTCTCATAGGATTGTCCTCACCAACCCATTCATCTTTTCAAAATTTGATTTTGTTACCTTTCTCAACCTTTCATTTAATGCATTATTGGAAACAAATACACTGCATCATAATTTTCCTACATAATCCTCTCTCGTGAGGGATAGAGATTCTATTTCTATCCCTACTAGCCATGTGCTCTCCCCACCGTACATCCACAATTCTTCTCCAATCTGTTTTCTTCCCGCAAATACCTCCATAATTATTTTTCTTGAAAAGTTTCATTCATTTTTACCATAAATCTAATACCAAGCCCCCCGTAGTTGAGAGGTTCTTTGATGTCATTCCATTTCATCAAATGGTATTTACGCTCATTTTCAACCTCTCCTCAAAGAAAACTACATTGAATAGCTTCCAATTTCTTAACCACATTCACAGGAATAATAATTGTCGAGAGGTAATAAATTGGGAGATTAGCTAAAGTGCTTTTAATGAGGGTATATCTACCCCATTTAGAGAGGAAACTTCTCTTCCACCCACAAATATTTTCTCAAACAAGTCGATTACCGACTCCCATGTAATTTGATCATTACATTTAGCACCCAATGGAACCCCAAGATATTTGAAAGAAAATTTGACTTTTTTACACCCCAAAATTTTAACATATAACCCAGCATCACCAATGCCACCAATTCTAACCAATTCAGATTTATTTTGAATCCCAAAACAGCTTGCAAACACAATAACACACATTGCAAATGTAATAAATTTCTCAAATCTGATTGACAGAAAATTAAAGTGTTATCAGTAAAGAAAAGATGAGACACTTCCGTGATATGCTCCATTTTACACCATGACTCCTCTCATCAACTAGAGATCTTTTGCCCTGCCTAATAACCTATTGAGAGCTTCCATAATCATGATAAATAGGAGGGGGGATAAAGGATCCCCTTGTCTTAAGTCTCTTGTAGCAGTAAAGAATTTGAAAGGATCCCCATTTATTAAAACAACAAAAGAAGTTGTTGTGATGTAAGGTTTCATCCATTTCAGCCCATATCTCATTCTATTTAGCATATAATCAACAAAATTTCAGTTAACATAGTCATATGCTTTCTTTATGTTGAGTTTACACACCAAGCCATTGTTCTTATTAGTCAATAAATCATCTACCGTCTCATTGGTAGTCATCATAGCATCAAGGATCTATCTTCCACCCACAAATGTATGTTGACATTTCCCTATTACTTCTCCAAGCACCTTAGATAATCTCCTAGTTAATACCTTAACAATAAGTTTGTACATGCAACCAACCAAACTTATTAGTCTAAAGTCTTTAAATTCATTAGCACTTCTTTTAGGGATGAGGCTAATGAAAGTGGTACTTAAAGATTTTATAAATTTACCCGAAGAATGCAAATCTTTAAAGATATCCATGATGTCTTCATTCAATAAATAGCATAATTGGGTAACACCTATCCACAGTGTGGCCCACAAGCCCACAGTGTGAACAGGTGGGTCTTCTTCTTCCTTGAGTTAGGGCAACAGAGGATCCGGAACCGTGACCTGTTTCTGCGTGTGTGTCGAACCCGATTGCACGGTGTCGCTCCTCCTGCACCACCAGCGAGAAGACTTTCAGAATAGATGGAGAGCATTCCATCATCAAAATCTGGGCTCTAACAGCAGCATAGGAGGAATTTAATCCCATTAAGAAAGTCATCACAAACTCTTGTTCCTGATAATCATTCCACGCCTTCATGTTTCCGCAATTACAAGTTGGGCCTGGTTGAAAGGTTTTGAGTTCGTCCCAGATTGTTTTCATTCGTGTGTAGTATGTGTTGATGCTGAGTGACCATTGAGTAAGATTGTTCATGCTCTGTTTCAATTGGTAGATACGCGGCGCATTGCTCTGCTGATATCGAAGCTGTAAATCGGTCCAGATGGATTGCGCACTTTCATGATATAACAAGCTGTCAGTTATCTCCTTGGTGACAGCATTCAGTAACTAAAAAACCACCATACTGTTACAACGCGACCAAGCTGCGGCATGGGAGTCGGTGTTGCTCGACTGATCGTAGGTTCCGTCTATGAATCCCAATTTATTTTTGGCTGTTAGTGCCATTCTGATTGCTCTATCCCATGTGTTGTAGTTGTTGCCATTGAGAAGATTGGACACCAAAACTAAACCGGGGTAGTCGGCACTGTGAAGGAAGAACGGGTTTTGGAGGTCATCGGACTGATCTCTAGCCATTGGAGATCAAATGCTTCGTAGCTCAACTATTGATAGATGTTGGTTAAAGGTTCATTGCTCTGATACCATAATAGAAAAAAGGAAGAGCAAATGAAAAGAAGAGACTGATAGAAAAGAAGGAAGAGCAAAAGACCAGAAAAATATTTTCCTTCTTCTGAAATATTTTGTTGCTTATAGGGATACATATATTGTCACTAGTATTGTGCCGTAACAGAAGAAAACAAAACAGCAGGAAAACAAAACAACAGGAAAAGAAACATTACAGCAGGAAAACATGTATTGCCACTGGCATTGTACTGTGGCAGAAGAGAACAAAAAGGAAAAAACAAAAAAAAAAAAACGGTTACAATTAAACTAACAAATTTATTAATTAATCTTAATACCAAAAGGTAAATATTCTCCTTCACTAACCACGTATTGTCCAAACGAAATGGGATAAATCCCTCTTGGATCCCCTCAGCCTCAATGCAAATGGGGTAATGGTCTGTTATCTAAGGGGCAATGGATTTGATCCAACCAAAAGAGTAGATCTAGAATTGATAGATTGTTTTGGTTGAACCAAGTCCATTGCCCCTTAGATAACGGTAGATCAACTACCCTCAACCTCTCCATCACCTCTTTGAACTCATTAACTTCCGAAGCCAAGAAGCTACTATCACTCCTCTCTTCCTTTCTCAATGTCATGTTGAAGTCACCTCGAATAACCCAATTACCTCCCCATTTGGTTCTGCATTCCTCCAATTCCTTCCAAATTATTGTTTTCTCCACTATATTCCCTCTACAGTAGACCCCAGTAAATATTCAATCGAAATCCCCCCTACAATTTTTAAAGATGCATGACATGGACATTCACCTGATCTTTCCTCCACAATAACCATTCCTCCAGCCGAGCCATTTGCAAGAATAACATGCTATCCCCTATGTTTAACACTCCAAAAACTATTAATCACACCATTGAAGTACTCTTCCACTTTCGTTTCTTAAAAACAAACCACAGTAGGTCTCTATTTATCCAAGCACCCTTGGATGATTAACCTTTTACCTTTATTATTCGCACCACTTACATTCCAAAAACTTACTTTATCTATCATTGACAAATCATTTTTACCCCTCTTATTGTCTTACCCTATTTTCTTCTTCCATCATAGTTGATAAAGGTCTCTAATCTTTTTAGCTCTCTATAAGTACCACCACTCAATTTTTTCTTTTCATTTAAGACAGACCCAATCTCCCTCAAAAGTTTCATTTTTTCAATTTCAGAAAAGAAAAGATATGGTAGATTTTCTATACCTTCTAATAACACCCCCATCAACTTGCTAAACTTCAGCACGTTGTTGACGATCCACTGGGAATAGTATTCCACATCACAAGCAGAGATGTGAACTCCCTCCAAACTTAACTGAAGAATCTCTTCAATCTTTAGGTCATGAACAGAGACAATCACTTAGGCTTCTTCATCAACCAACCCATTTCAAGGTTCTTTGAAGAGTCCTTCTCACAAGGATTTTCAACCGACAATCTCTCTTCTCCTTGAAGTCCTCCATTGTTGAGAAGACGGAGCATAGATCATCATCATCTCTTTCACTCGAGACCATCGATTCGTTGAAGACTTCTCTGTCCATTTCAACCACTAATTTTTTCATTTCCGCATGCCCTATCTTTTCCATTTCTTTTTCACTTTCTCGACTTTCCTCCAACTACTCATAACTGTCGGGGAATAAATCCTTCACCACGTTAGTACCCAATGACTCACTCCGGATCGGTTAATGATTATGACCGAATTCGGGTTATTGCTTGGGCCTTTAACTATTTCTGGGCCCGCTATCCACTTCTCCTTTTCTCTTCAAATGAATCGGTTCTTCTCACCCATCCCATTCTTTTTATGTTAGTTTTGGCCTAGAAAATGAAGGAAACCATCACCTTAAAACCAAAACGACAAGTACTCCTTGTGTTTAGAGTTTTACCCATGTACCCATTACCTATCCAGTTCCGATTCATCGAGCCTAACCCGATTTGAATTACCTTCAGGTTTCCTCTGCCCTACCAGCTTCGAGCTTCCCTCGAAAAATTGTAGAGCTGCCGCATATGAGTGAGCTCCCCCTCCTTCCATCGTGACATTAATCGGAACATTGCAATGCAGACATTGAAAGAAGACTTTCCAAGGTCGTTTCGTTTGACTCACATTCTCCTTAGGATTCACCTTGTTAATCCTTTCGCTCTCGGCGACAATCTTAGGGTTATTAACAGGTCTGTACATGAGCTCAAAAACAACCACCATTAACTTGCACGATCCTCTCCCCTGCACTCTAAGAAAAAAAATTCTCTTCACCTGACGATCACCTTGCACTGTTAAGGCTGATTACTCCCCTCATCTGTTCTTGCCGAATGATAGCCACAACTTATATTTTCTCTTCACAAGATGTTTAGCCCATGTCTCCAACCTCCTTTTCCACCAAAAATCATAAAGCGTGTAAAGGAACCAGCCATATTCATCTTTCTCTAAAAAATCGAATGACGGAGACCTCGCCCATTCTCGCTTAATCTGTAAGCCTTCTGCTCTCCTCCTTTCACAAACCAAGTTGAACGATTTGCTTTCAATAACTAGAAATCTTCTTCCAAACGAACTCATTAAGATCTCTAACGAAATGGTCAGCCGATCAGGCCGATAGGGCACCAAAAGCCTAGAGAGAAAATTTAGAGAGAGAGAGCCATAAAACTATAAATAAGAAAACTAATAGATTTGAATTAGAATATATAAATAAATTAAAAACTATAATTCCACCTAATCTACAATGTAATATAACAATATGGATAATATTAGATATCTAATATCAAAAGGATTTTATTTATATATAAATCTTTTGAACTTTTTAGGAGTGACTTATAATAATTTTTGTGTTTATATCCCAATCCTTAAGTGTAACATCTTTCGATTCCTAAATCTATTTGAATCTCTATGTGGCAAAGTAACTCTAGTTTTCCTTATAGTTATGCATGAGTTTATTGCTTTTGATAACCAAGAGGGATAATATCATGTATAGCACAATTTTTCCTGTACCAAGGAATAAAATTTTGAAAGTTAAATCATATGAAAAATTGGAGACAGAAGTTAAACTTAGGACCTGATCTGACATGATACCAACTAGACATCTAACGTATTAGGTTTGCTTCTCCTATGAAGCTAAGCTTGAAGCATCTCTTCTTAACTAAAAGAATAATTGCATAAAATAACTAGCAGAGCACACCTGAATCTCATGCAGATGATCTGGAATTTCTTTGAGAAATCGTGACGGCTGAAGCATCTGAAAGTAATCAGTCTTAGAAAAAGCACTATTAAATAGGGTAGTGGTACATAAATTCTATGTAGTTCAAACCTGCCAATTCGCATCCATCACAGTATACAAAATGAGAAGTTTTTTTCGTGCACGAGTCATTGCCACATAAAATAGGCGCCTTTCCTCCTAATAATCTCAAATAAAAATGAATAATTGAGCAAGACACAGAAAAATCAAATAATGAAAAGCAATCAATCCACTTTCCTACAAGGAATGCTTACCTCAATTGAGCTCCCATTTTCATTAGCTGTGTCATTAAACTCATGCAAGAGAGGAATCTCAGATTCATTTGCCTGGCATCCCAGTCATTTGACATGAGGATCGAATTGATGAAATATACTATGCATTTGGAGTGAAGAATTAAACAAACTACTATAATGATTTAATGTATAAGAAACAAAAAAGTCATTAAACATGTTGACATCACAATGATTTATTGTATAAGAAACAAAAAAGTCATTAAACATTTTGATGTCATTTACATAAATTCTTAAACCCTTTTATCACAAATGCTTTACGAGCAATGCTTATTGCTTAACTTCAACTGCTCAAGCCACTCAAATGAAATCATCAACCACCACCTCTTAAGTAGCAGGCAGATATAATCTTTAAAATGTCTCCAGTATCATCCATCAAATGATCCCCCTCATCACTAATACCTCACCTGCATTTCCCACTTCTGAAAGTAGTGAACAAAATCACTTCTGTAGTTTCATGTATTATTTCCAGTTCCAATCATGTGGTGGCAATAAACTCAATTATATTCGTCATTTAGTATTTCCCAACTAACTGTAAAAATAAGATAAATTAAAAAAAACTTCTTAATATATAATGATATATGGACTAAAAATGTCAAACCATGCGTATTGTACATAACATGCTCTGACAGATGTTATTAGAGTTTAATGGTGAAGCATAATTTTACATTTCTACCGTAGTCATAGTTGATGCCAGTTATCCTCATTTATTCACTTCACTTTTTCTTCTAATTATCTTATTATAACCAATGGAAAAATCACGTGTTTAGTTTATTAACAAAAGCAATACGAGTTTGCTACTTCTGATTAAAGGCTGTGCATAATGATAAGAATAAAGAGATCCCATGCTCATACTATGATCCCCATCGAACATGTTTGTATCTTTAGAAAATTTGGGCAAACAGAGCGAAGTTAAGGTCACCAATTACCTTCACTATAAAGACAATGTCCCATTCCAACCCTTTGGACTGCAGAGGAGAGACGTGAAGAAAGTTCAGACAAGGTTGAGTAACTATGGAAAAAAACCAATATGAGGGTCCTTGCAATCAATGAGAAGATGCTTCAGTCACAAAATACCTGATGAATTGTAGTCAAGGTGACAGAATTTCCATTTTCACATCTCCGGTAGCGAAAGTTTACTCTTTCACGCTCAGAGATATAGTCAATGAAGGCTTTGAGTATAGATGCACAGCCTTTTTGTTCTTCAACCACAGCTCTCTCTCCTGTTGTGGAATGTGTAGACAAAAAATTAGACACGTCATCCAGTAGGTACTGAAGAACCTGCAAGGTGGAATAAGCAAATTCCAAGCATATATGTCAAACATTCAAATTCGACCTTGAGATAGATTTCACCAAAAAGGTTTATAATATAAGTTAAAATATATCGTGTGTCTCCTTCCTCTCTATGAAAAGCTTAAATATTAGTATGGTGCATTTTTCTGGAAGCTACAGAATCTATTAATTGATTGTGATCATGTAATCTTACATCTTTATACTTATAGTCTCTTATAGACTTCTAAAAGTAATAACGTGCCAAATAAATGATTATAATTAATTATCCCAAACGCCTAAATTGACAGTAAAGTATTTGATTTATTATTTATACTCTAACATGCTCTCTCATGTACAAGCTTGCCAGCCAAAAATATTGATCAAATGCAGAGGGCCATCATACCTTGTGCAAAACTAAATTTTAACACAAAAGAAGGTTTAGACGAGAATTTTGACCCTATACTGGGTCAATAAATTGACTGTAACCAATTACCTCAAAAACTTAAACTTATACAAGAGAGCCTGAGATATTATTTATACTCTTAACAATATGCATACGACAAGAAAACACGGATCCATTAAGAGAAATATAGGAAAAAGAAGACATGCAAACATTTAGAGATGAAGAGAAGCAGTTCAAGATGGTAGAGAAAATAAATTCAAGTTTTGGTAAGTCAATGAAAGCGTAACTTACTGATCTAAGGTCATTATCTTCATTAAGTAATTTCCCTCCATCAACATCAATGACAGCCTGTTGCTCAAGAAGGTATTTCTAGAAGTAGAAGTACACAATTAAAAAAGAACTATCTGAATTT